TCGACTCACATCCTGTAAAAACACCCCCTGGTAAACAGGACCAGGAGAAGTTGAATTGGTCAGGATAGCCACGAGCTAGGCATGTTAACTCGACTAAGAGGCCATAGCTTATTTCTGCATTTTGGGGGTGAACAAGAACTGTGGGTGGGTGCGTAACCAATATCGGACCTATAAGGCACGTTAGAAGCCGACCGGGAAAAGCTATTTCACTCGTCACCTCACAAACTATCATCTTCATGTGAAGTTCGTTAGTAATCGGCATGGTATGTGTTAACACTCTTTGGAATGCATCATCACGGTGACGTGGCAAGTATACGTTTGGAACATTAGGTTGCAGTCTCCAATCTATGTCAACAGGTGGATCACCTCTCAGAACTGTACAAAAAGTATGCAGTAATTCACCCTCTTGAAATATCGCTGGATTACGTGGTCCACATTTAAGATCGTTTACATCAGGAAAATGCCATGCTAACTGCACTTTCAATGTTGCTCTTCGTGATGAGAGGCACAAGTTATGTTTTGAATAAACTCTCTCACATGTAATGTACTGGACACTGATGCTCGCTTGCACTGCTATGACAGACAGGACATCATGCGTTTTTTCAAAATATTTCTCATAAACCTTTGTGTTGTTGATATCTGGATAAACGTTCCAATCAATCAAGTCAGAAGAGGGATCGTAGTCGTGGACAACACATGTGAAGTTTACAAACTCTCCTCCACTTGCAATTCTATCCGATGGTTCTATACCGAAGTCATCTGGCGATATCGTACAAGAATGTAATTTCACAATAATAAAACAGCAAATCAGTATTGCAAAGAACATGTTTATCTCCAGAGCTGTTGCCATGTTGATAGTATGCTAGACAGGCTTGACGTTTACACACTAATCTTGTAAGATATTGTTGTTATATCTTTCCGGTCACTCTATTTAAAGATTGAAAAACATTTTATACAAAAATGCAAACGAGTATGGAGAAAAACCCGTATTACATCCTCGCGGTAATCTGAGAAAAGGATGGTCTGATGGTGATTCTTTCAAGGGTGATATTCGATCAGTCAGTTGTCTGTGTATTGTTTCGTTTATAATGATGATGACATGCCAAGTGTGCTGATAGATTAACGTTCAATGACGGAAACAAAACTAGCTCTTTCGTTTTTAAAGCATTGAATAAGTGTGAGTAAATGACAAATGGGGACATATCATACGTGAAATTGAAATCGAAACAAGTCGAGAGAAGATTTCGAAGGTGAGTAATGTTTTTTTATCGTTCAGAATTGGTCGAAGCAGAAACTGATTTCCCTTTCGGACAACCGGCCTATATACGTATATTAAATATCGAAAACATCTTGTTGGCGGGAGAAAAACAACAACTCGTATTCCTCTGCGTAAACAAAATGGAAGTATTTAACAAATCATTAACTACAAGAAAAAAAAGGTTCTCTTTTTAAACTTTAAATTTAATACAAATGCAAAGAATACAATAAAGTATTTTTTGCAAACATAGATACGCCAATAAAATGAAAAATACACTAAAGGGAATTACGAAGTAGTTGGATCATCGAAAAAGTTACAGAAACCTATAGGTAGATGATCGTAAACAAATTTACACAAAAAGGGCACAAAGAAAATATAATGATACAATAATAATAATGATATTGGATTCTTATATAGCGCACGTATCGACCTTGCAAGGTCCTCAAGGCGCTCCAACATTACCCGGCTTATGCTAGGCCGCGGATTTCGACGCTCACATCATAGTGCCGCCGCGGCACTCGAACCGCGGACCTTGGTATCGACAGTCCGGCGACGTATCCACTCATCCACGACACCTCGACAATGGTAATTACACGCGTAAAAAATGCGGTTGTCAAATTCAAAGCTTCTGCATCAGGTGAAGTTCTAGATTATGCTTCAAATTGTTTAGAGATGCACACTGTTTAGATTTTGGTGGTAGTTTAATCCAGATAGTAAGTCCTTGGCATAAAAAGATACCTTTTGAAAATGAAGAATGACCATATATATTACACGCAGGGGCGGCGATTTCTTTTCATGACCGGGGGGATGACGAAATGCGAGGGACGAGGGAGCAGTGGCGGGGGGGGGGCAGAAAAAAATCTGCATCACCACCACTCTTAAATGTTACGCAGGCCCTGGGAACGTGCTTCAAAGTGGGGGGGGGGGGGTCTAAAGTTTTAACGATCAGGTAGATCAAAACAAAGCAAAGTGGAGCGTAAATTGGCGTGGGGTCCAGGGGCAAAACCCCGATGGTGTCTAGGGGCGGAGCCTCATGAAGGTCAGGGGTTTTAGGCATTTAATCACGGTCAGATGAGCATATTTTGATACATTATTTGTGACACTGGCATGCAGGTCACTTATTGGAGTGGGGTCCAGGGCGAGCCCCCAGAAGCTCAGGCGTTTTAGGCATTTAATTACAGTCAGATGAGCAACCAGGGGCCCACATTAGGACCCTTGGTAGGGTCCAGGGGACAGAGCCCCCGGAAGCTCAGGGAAAAATCATGCCATTTCAACAACATTTTGTAATTTACTGGTATCGAATTAGAAATAAACCACGTTTGAATTTCATTTAGGGGAACTGCCCCCCAGCCCCCCTCCCCAATCAGTACGCAAGTGTGAGGGAGCATAGTGAAAGGGAGAGGTGAAGGTGACGGAAGTGACTACCCCCCTCACAAGTATTGTTGTATTAAACAATCACATTCCTTAGCAAAACTATCGTATAACAACAAGCAATATACTTTTTTTCACACGTCAATTTTCTCGGTATTTACTTGTACATTTTGAAGGATATTATGCGAGGGAGCGTAGCTACCAAGTGAGAAGATTTTTGCGTATTTATTTGTCTAAACGCTGCACTCTTGGGCTCTCCAGAGCCTAAAAGTGTGTTGCAGTCTTTAGTCAGTATTATTTTGCTATACACTTTTTTTTGCACTTTTTCAAATTTTGAGGGGGGACGATCCTTCCCCCTAAACAAATTGAGGGAGGGACGTGCCACCCCCCGTCCCCCCGGGATCGCCGCCTCTGATTACACGAATGTGTGCTGAAATCCTGGTATTATATTTATAACTATAATTATTGCTCTGAAATATATTACCAAAGAATTCTTGTAACAAGTTATAATAATATGAATACATAAAAACACAGAGTTCAAAATCATGTAATAATGAAATTGGGAAAGTATTCAATTTAAAGAATAGAGGTCTCCTTGGACTTAAAAAGGGCTTGTGCAAATTATACGAACTGCTATTTTTTTTTTTAAGAGGAGAATACGATTAAATAAATGCGAAATTATTTTCGATAAATAAATGTTGTTTACAAATGCAATCAAGCAAAATAAAACTATTCAAGAATGTCAACCAAAGGGCTTCACACGTCCGTAAAACCGTTGTCATTGATCACAAGGTCTACAGCCCACTAGACCAACAGTTTTTAATGATATTTGTCTGTCGATCTTTGTGGTCGTCGGTCTCATCAACCTTTGAGAACCTTCTTCTCTTCATACATTTGGTCTCACGGACCGTCTGTCTACAGGATTTTCGGTCTGTTGGAATGACCCCGAAGTGGAGGTCCCAGGTTACCAATACAAGGAGTTAAACAAAAGTTTATTACTTCTAAATATTGTGCCTTCTCACACAGGCGCGGATCCAGGATTTCTTAGGGGAGGGGGCCCAACTTTTTTTTTTTTTTGCTCCCGAAAATTTGAAAATCGCGCCTGCCGAAAAGTCGCTCAGTGGGGGGAGGGGGGAGGGGTACAGAGCACATTTTTTTATTTATTTTTTTATTTTATTTTATTTATTTTTTTGCTCCCGAAAATTTGAAAAACGCGCCGGCCAAAAATTCGCTCAGTGGGGGGGGGGGGGGGGGGGGGGGGGGGGGGGGTAGTGAGCACATTTTTTTTTTTTGATCTTCAAAAAAATTTCAATTTGCACCCCCCCCTTGAGCGCCAGGGGGGGGGCCCAACCCCCAAAAAAGGTAAAAATCACGTGATTTTACATGATTTTTTTCTCAAGGGGGGGGGGCCCGGGCCCCCCGGCCCCCCCCCCCCTGGATCCGCCACTGTTCTCACATGTCCTTAATTTTGTCCCTCCACATAATTCCCTCCGAATTCGCGCATGTAAAAAAATGGAAATCAGTTATTAGTGGTAATTTTTTATTCAATTTCAACTATATCACGCCTTTAGATTGCGTTTATGAATATATATTAGTAACAGCTAATTTGATAATAGTTAGAAAAAGGGCCGATAAGGCAAAACACATGCATATTAGTTTTAAAAGTACGTAATTTACAATAACTGTACAGCAGAAAAAATAGTATATGTCAGTACATATTTCCTAACGATACAATATTATACAACGCGTTCAATAATTAACTGGAGATTAGTCATTTGGTTACGATTTCTTTGAAACACAGCCAAATGTGAGCATTAACATTTGAGAAAAAATAAATAAAACTAACTAAGGGGCAAGTAAACTTCGTGACTTCCTAATTTGGATGAATACCTTTTCTATATTTAGCCTTTGTCTTGTTTATCTGATGACCATCTGGCTCATCATGGCCAGCAGCTTTTAAACCGCCATGATCACTTCCTTTAATTTCTGTTGAAGGACTTTGTGTTGGTTCCTTTGAACGACAAAATACAACCACGAATCCTAGCACAAGGACAACTAGATTCAAGCACACTATCATCAATATAAGAGGTGCGTAGATATTTGCTTCATTGGGGTTATAACCGCTTTCTGTATTGTACTCATGTGTGTCGGTATAGTCAGGTATAGGAGTAATCATGTTTTTACCATTTTGGTTTGAAGACGAAACAGATTCAGGGAGACCAGGTGAGCATGGGTTTAGGCCACTAGGTATTTCTGTTTGAGCCATTGGGTCCCAAATATAATCATTACAATTGCATCTCCCTTTAGGTGCTTCAAGTGTAGACGAACAGCAGAAGATGCGAAACGTTTGTTTCATCCATATATGCTGGATCAAAGTGGTTTCGTTCTGTAAGGGCCTTGACCAAGGGGGCACCCGTTCACCACTTTGGTGGCATTCAACTTGACCACGTTCACTACCGACTGGTGCAACGCATTTTAGAAGTGCCCAAATTGTAAAACTGGAATCGATATAATTTGGTTCGAGCCTACATAGTGCCTTTCCAGGGAGACGCTCTACAGTTACCCCTATTTTCTTTGTACGGTCTCTTAATATTACACCATCGTTATACATAGCACATGTAAAAGTGCCTGCATCTTCTCTCCGAACCTCTGCTATGTTCACACGAACTACAATCATGTAATTGGGTACAGGTTCACTTATTGTGACATCAAATCGTTCTGCCTGACTCTCACTTAATCCAGCCCTATCAATTTCACTTGATATTTTAAGTCTGTAGAAAGGGGTTCGGTATCCAATTCTAATCTGAATGTCTACGTCCGGTACATAATCATATTGAAATGATAGATCTGCAGCCTCGCCTTCCTTTAAACTTACCAGGTTTACAGACTCAACTGGTGAAAAGAAGCCTTGAATATACAAAACAATGAATAATTCCAAACAAATATATAACCTCGCCTTTCCCTTGCTCATGTTGGAGGCGTGTTTGCTGCTGAACCCCATATTTCACATAAAAACAATCCCTATTATACAACAATACCTAACGACAAAAACAACAATTATGCTAACTAATATTGAAGGTGAATCTATCACAGAAGAAGTGTTTGATACAGACTTGGTGATTGTACTCTTGGTTGTTTTCTCTTCGTATGCAGTGGTAATAACAATCTTACTATCGTTTACCTCTTTAGACAATCGACTTTTCAACGTAGACTGAGGTTGGTGACTAGTAGAAAGTGCATTAAAATCGTTGCAAGAATCCCAGTTTTGTTGGTAAAGCGAACTTATTGAACAGCATCTAATATCCGCATTCATGGAAAGCACAAAAGTTGCTTCAATGATGTCAACCCCAGTGAGATGCTTTGGAGCATGTACCGACGTTTTCTGCTTGTCCTGTGAAAAGCAAATTATTCCCGATGTTGGGTGGCCGTTTATTGCTTTGCAATACAGAATGGAAAGATTGTAAGATCCAAGATCAAGGTAGGGATTGGGTGGTGTATCAATCCATATACAGTCAGCTGGTTTTGGAGGATGATTTATAAGGAGCAGGTAACTTTGAGAGCTATGAGACTCTTCGCACTGGATACAACAACCATACACGCCTGCGTCGAACTCATGAAGACGATGCAATTCCAAAGTTACTTGAAAAGACTGAAATACACGTGTCGCTTTTAATTGGGATCTTTTTTGTTTCCCAAGTGCATAATTTTCCGACTTTATAAAAGTACCATTTTTGTAGAATATCACATTATCATATTCAACGTGAAATGTGCATTCATTCACATCAGTTGGTACATGTATGTTATAGGACAGAGTGACATTCTTCTGCACGTAAGATGTAATTTCCTGTTGACTGTGTTCTGATCGACATGAATTAACAGCAGCAGTGAAAAGTAAGATGTAGATAAAGTTTCCTGGATTCATGTTTTCATGGTGAATGCTCTTCGGATTAATCTGTGAAGGAGGGAGCATAAACATGTATGTATGACTTTATTGTACTCAACATTTTAAAGCTGTTTATTGGTGTCCTTCACGCATTATCAAGACATGATTACATTGTTCTGAACAATATGAAACATGCGCCTTATTTATTTGAGGAATAATTTGTGCGGAAGAAGAAGAACCTCTTTACAGGTGACCGTTTACTCCTCCCGTATGTGTATTACTTGTTAGGGAGTATAGCATCTGAATAGTAATCTCCTACTTCTAACCAAAGTATAATTTGATTATGTTTTCTACAAGGTGGACAATATGAATATTTTTAAAAAAATGTTATTGTTAAATATATACGAATAAGAAATACTTTAGATGTTCGATCATATATGTATAAACAATTTTTATTCGAGCTATTTTTAAAATTTTAAATAATAACACTGTAACAATTTATATAAATATTGAAGAGTAATCTTACCCCTCTACCTACGGAGGAGAGAAATAGGCCGCACTAAGTTTGTATTGTAGTCACTTGCCGTAGGTACCATACAGCAAACTGTCGCATCAGATCAGACGTCAGCATGCGCATTCTCAAACTTACAACAACATTTGATGGGCGTTTTATCAAGTGGCATGGAACAGGGCAATCAAATAAAAATCGAAAAGAATGGTGGATGACGTACGTGCAAAATTACCCATGATAAGATACTCATGATAGGGTGAAATATGTATATTGATTGGCATAATCAATCTCTGCGACAAATCATACATAGACTTTGACTGACAAGATAAGATCAGATTTCGTCAATAAATTGAAGTGGTCTCTGACCTCTTTCTTATTTCGTTTTCGAGAGGCCCTTAGAAGCACGTTAATAAAAGAGACCTAGGATTGTCCAAAGTTCGATGAGCAGCAAGTTTCTACTTGTTGCCAACATTTACATATTAAAAATGCAAGTTTGCAAAACACTTTACTATATACCGCCAAAACTAGATGTGCGTGAAATATGATGAAATCTGATTTACAGGGTCAAAGGCTCATGATGGCTGTGACGGGTTGAACTGGTAAGAGGGGGGGGGGGGGGTGTACTGTGACTTCAATAATAGTATGATGAGTATTATGAAAGGATTCACATCTTGTAGGTGGAATGAGTTGACTGTCTCAGGGCAATCTCACAGAGGCTTTGGGATTGGGAGAGTTTAGGTGTTTTTTTAGAAGGCCAAAGGTATTAAAACCTTTGAGCATAAATTATTAATATTTTGACCTTTCCAAACGTTAGCCTCTACGAAATAGGTATACGGTCGGAATATATATGTATAAAGGCAAAAGTGGGCCACTAGTGTTATTATTCGGTCGGTGCCGAATATATTTTTCAGCATGACGTTTGACATTAGAGCTTACGCTAAAGTGATTAATCCATTGACACTGATTCACTCTGACAATGTCGGTGCAGTTTTGGCCTTTCTATACATGTAGAACACATATTAAAACAAACCGAACAATTGTGCGATGTTATTTCATCAATGGATACAATCTGAGCTGGTCAAAGGTTATATATCAATTCCATGAAAAAAATTCATGGGTCTTTTAATAGTCCCATTATTGCAATGTCTCAAGAACGATTCGAGCAATGAATTTTCAAACTTTTCAATAATATGCATCGTCATAGTGAGTCAAACTGATTAGATTTGTGGTTAAGAAGGTCAAAGGTCAGCGAGTTAATTTACATGAAATTAAATGGTTTTCTATACTTGTATCCCCATATCAATAACTATTTTAGCTGTGAACTCAAAGTTCATATCAAGTATGTATCACCTTAGGAAAACAAGGGTTGTAGGACACTACCCCCTGGACAATCACGCCGGCCAATTACAAGCGGAACAATCCCCCCCTGGAAAATTTCCCCCTGTGGACTATTACCCTCCGGAAATTACCCTCTAGGACACTGACCCCCGTGCGTGTGTTTATGTGTGGTTTGTAGGGGGGGGGGGTCTCACATGATATTTGGTCTGCTGGCAATTGTCTTTGGGGGCAATTGTCCTAGGGATAATTTTCGGGGGGAATTTCCGGGGGTTAATTGTCCTTATACAGGAGACAAGCTATCATTTATGGATTGTCTGGTCAAAGGTCAACAATCATAAAGATCAATTAAAATGAAATATGGGCTATTTTCTTTTTTTTTAAGTGTATTTAAACAATATTGCAAGACATGATCTTAACTGAATTAAGGCGGAGGCATGTTGGAGACGTTTTATATAGTTCGCTGTGTATAGTCATACGCAATGGTGTAAATACGCTTGGGAAAAAAAGAAAAGAAATAGTAGCCAAAGTTTGATGAACAAGTATACACGTGAGGGGGCAGAGCTACCGAGTGGTAGTCTATCTACCCTTTAAAAATGCAATGCAGTAATACATATTTTACCCTTCACACTAAAATAAGTCAACATTGAAAAGCAATAATATTTACTTTTTTAGGTGGTGCGCACAATAATTGATATCCTGATTTTAGCCGACCGGAAGAAAATGAAAGAGTATTGACCTAATAAAGATGTATTTATTCATTCTTCAGAAATGTGATTTTGTGTTAACGATAACACAAAATCACATTTCTGAAGAATGAATATATGAAATTCCCTTTTTCACTTCAAAATAGCTACTTTCTCGATTGCAATATTTCCCTATGATGTATAAACTCCATGTGCGAAGTCACACAATCAAATAAATGGTAGCCTCTGGTAGGCCTATACATTATATTTTGCCAGGTCTTGTGACGTACAATGTAGTCCAAAAGGTGGGTAAGGATTGCACCTTTGAATATTAGAGAATATATATTTCGGGGAAATTGCCACTGAGGGTTTCTTCCCCCCTCTCCACCCCTCACTGTCTGTGTCTCTCTGTCTCTCTGCCCCTCCATCTCTCTCTCTTTGTCTCTATCCTGTCCCTGTCTTTGTCTCTATCTCTCTGTCTGTCTATCCGTCTGACTTTCTCTCTCTCCCTCATCCTCTCTGTCTCTCACTATCTCTCTATTTATTTCTCTCTCTTTCCATTACAGTTAGATTGAATGGTAGATAATTAGGGCAACACGGGCAACACGTAAAATAAAGACTCCAAGACTTTAGGAGGTAGCTGTAATCACCGATGTTTATTGGAGCAACGCTTCATTATTATAACATCTTCATGGGTTGTACAGCGAAGAAACTGCAACGAAATCGTATTCAAGATTTTGAAATATACATGTATATGAATGCAGATCAATAAGAACAATTTTTTTTAATTTTTTTTTTTTACATAGTTTAACATAATCAGTATGATAATGCATAGTATAATTTACATTGCTTCTTCAGTTGTTAAATGGGTACCCGGTAGGATGCGAAAGTGATTGTCGTTTGCTCAGCAATGTGAGCGTTTGTAAAATGGCACCTGGCTGGAAAGCTTCACAGGGAGTGGCAAATGTAAATGTACATACATTCTGTGCTGGCAATCCGATGATCGCGGTACTATCTATCAAGCGCTTAGAGAAATTTCGCATGTATTAAGCGCTATATGAAACCAGAATGATAATACTGTAAAATTAAAGGAGAATAATAAAGCCGTTAAAGCAACTCATGAATTTCATGACTGATTTTTTTTTCTTTATACTAATCTTCTTTCAAATATATATTTTTTAAACACCGAGACATGTTCGAAACGTTCGTTGTAATACTTTTCTATCTAATTTAGTGAATTGTTCTGTTGAGGTTGCAGGTGCTGTTTTGTTCATTTTATCCCTCTACAGTGTTTTGTGCCTTTTGGCATTAAAAAACTGATGCCGGAGAGGGGCACAATTCAATAGAGGGCATATCTTTTTTTGTACCCGATGTGTATATTAGCCGGACATGCAAGGCGCGGGTTTGGTCAGGGACACTTGCACCCCCTAACATTAGCCAAAGTTGATATACGAGCATATGCAACCTACTTTGATTATACTAGCACAAAGTAAGATATGACAAGATAATGAAATAATGAAGGAAATATAATTGGGTACGGTATACATAGTTAACAAAACATGGGTGCAATAGAGAATCTTACATATGATTATGGTTTACATGTACAGTTACCGGGCAAGGTGCATCCCTCAACTCATAATACCATCGAATCGATCATTCCAATAGCATCTAGAAGTATATTACATTCATAGTGACATCATCCCCTTTTTCTTTATTTTCTTTGATTAACATATAGCCCGTCCCATTACGTTCATCTCTATTTGTCACTATACCTTTAATGTACATTACAATACATAATAAAGTTATGACCAAAATGTTGATTATACGGGTACATCCATACAAAATAACGTTACAATAATTTGTTCATGCAAGTTATTAAAACCGTTACAAAGATCACACACAATGTAATCCCAATAGTAAAATATGGAAACCCGTTTTGTTCAGAATGATAACCATTTTCTTTATTTGTTGGCTCAGGTGAGTTGCTTCTCGTATTCCTCAACGAGCAAGGATCAACATCAGGACCAGATTGTACACTACGTGTTGGTGGGTCATATACGAAATCATTACAATCACATCTACTCTTCTTTTGTTCTGAGGTGGACGTACAACAAAATATACGATTGGTCTTTTCCATCCAAAGAACTTGCATCAGGTGGGTTTTATTTTGGACAGGTCTAGTCCAAGGAGGGACCCTGGCTCCATTTTGATAACACTCTATAAAACCAACATGACTTCCCACTGGTGCTGTGCATTTTAGCTGTGACCAAACGTTGTCACTTGAGTCAACTGGATTATCATGTTCGTTACATATAGGTTTCCCCGGGCCATACTCGATATCGATAATTGTAGTTTTTGTGAGATGATTTAATATCTTCCCATTTCTAAAGACCTGGCATTTGTACAATCCAGCATCTTTTCTTGAGACATGTTCGATAGTAATACGGACTAGAAACATGCGGACGCCAAATGATGAATGTTCCTCGATCTTTACGTTTAGGTTTTGTTTTTGACTGGGATTTAATCCATTCAAATTTAATGATCCGGATTTATAAAAAGGCTCATTATTACCTATACTCAGTACAAATTCCATCCCATTTTCATGGTTGTATTGAAATAAGATTTCTGCACCGTCACCTTCACCTAAGGTCAGGTGGATGGAAGCAGAACGTGGTAGGTTAAAAACCATTAAAATAGCTAAATATAAAGTTAACACTCGGTATGTGATTAACGTCATTGCATTCATTTGTTTAATATTGTTACAGTATAATAACACCGATCAAGTTTAGTTTGTTTTGGATGCCGATGTATAACTCTGCGTAGTTTGTAAAAAGTTCTTATTTACTAAAATAAAGAAAAGAATAGCGATGATGACACAAAGTAAAGCAGTAATAGCATAACAATACTTCCCGAACGGGGAGTCGCAATGTTCGACAATTTCTGGTTCACCATTCGATATCTCATCGCCCGTCGCTAGTGGTTCAGCTTCGTAGGGTACACCGGGCAAGGTACGCGAAATGTCTTGGACAGCATAATTTGTATTCCGGAATTCAAGTGAATGATAGTCAGAACAATGATCCCTTGCCTTTTTAAATAGTTTACTGACAGAACAACAGAATATATC